TGGTCAAGCCTGGGCCAGTTAGAAATGGTGGTAATGCCTCTTTGATAACACATTTAAGAAGGAAGATGAACAAAAAGTTGTTGCATAGTTTTAATTCCAGCCAGAGGTGATCAGGGTGAGAACATGTGAGAACAACTATGCAGACCATGAGGTCAGTGGAGAAGGAAAGGAGAGGGAGGAGGTGCACCAGGTCTGTGGAGAGAGGGGCCCTGCTTCTATGCTGAAACAGCCTGTCCTTGAGGGACTTCACCCCATGGAAGAGTGACCCATGCTGCAGCAGGTTTGGAAGGACACCTGCCTGTGGCACGGACTCACATGGCAGCAGTTCTCAGGGAACTGTTGCTTGTGAGATGGAGCCACGTCAGAGAAGTTCATAGAGAACTGTTTCTTATCGGAGAGACCCCATGATGTGTCAGTGGAATGCTCCTCTTCCTAAGCAGCAGAAGAAGCGACAGGAGATGAACTGATCATAACCCCCATTTCATGTCTCCTTGCACCACTGGGGTAGGAGATAGAGCTGAGAAGTAGGCAGGGGTGGGGGGAAGGTGGTTTTAAGGGCTTATTTCACTTCTCATTATCCTGCTCTGATTTTTTGTTTTGTTTTGTTTTGTTTTGTTTTGATTTGTTTTGTTTTGTTTTGTTTTGTTAGTAATAAATTCACTTAATATCCCTAAGTTGAACCTGTTTTGCCCATGATGGTATTTGATGAGGTGTCTCTCCTGGTCCTTATCTCAACCCATGAACTATGTTATATTTTCTCTCCTGTGTCCAGCTTCAGAGGGAAGTTAATGAACGACTTTCATTGGTGCCTGGCATCTGGCCCAGGTCAATCCACACCACCTCCCAAGATAGTTATAATTGACAAACCAGCTTAGTATGCCTGTAAATCGTGCATCTAAGTCATCTATGAAGACATTGAAGAGTGCTGGGTCTGGAATGGAGCCCTGTGGAACCCCACTAATGACAGATCACCAGCCTGATGTCACTCCATTCATTGTCACCCATTGTGCCCAACCCGTGAGCCAGTTGCTGTGCTTATGATGATGTGTTTATCCAGCTAAGTGCTGGACATTTTGTTCCAGACACTGTGAAAAACAGCACTGATGACTACTGAAATCCAAAAAGATGATTACATTAACTGTCTTCCCTTGATCGATGAGGTGGAGAATCTTGTCATTAATGGGTAGGACTTTTCCCCTCATGAACCCATGCTGGCTGCTAATGATGAGTGTGATGTCCTTCAGGTATTTTTCAACAACTCACAGAATAATCTCCAAATTTTGCCAGGCACTGAGGTGAGACTGACAGGTGGGTAGTTACCAGGGTTATTCCTCTTGCCCTTCTTGAAAATTGGGATGTTAGCCACCTTTCAGTCATCTGGGACCTTCTATAATTCTATTTTTCTGTGATTATATGGCGATGGAAACACATACAAAGGTTGTGCAGCTCTCATACTTTTGGTGTTGAGTAGTATAAAAAATTTCCCTTCCTCCCTTACCCATATAAAAGATAAGTTACCACATTTTCAATTTTAGCTCTCTAAATACCTTCAGTTGACTTAGAGCCTTAGATTTTGTAGCAGCTTCAGAACCACTTGATACTAGAAAATAAATGCAGAAAATAGGGTTCTAAATTTAATGTGGGTATTAATAATGGGTACATTATTATGGGTAATTGTGTACCCATAATTAATATGGGTAACCATCTGCTTTATATCTGCAAGTAGGATAGACGTTCTAGACCTTGTTCTGTCCAAGCTGGACATGACAGCATTCATTTTGACAGAGGCAATATAAGACCAGGGCTTATTTGCTTGAGCAGCTGGATGCTTCTGGTCCAATTTTTTATGTTTTCCACTAACATGCCATGTAATACCTGAATGCCAGTATATGATATTGATTTAACTGAAGTATTTGTAGTTGTTTGCATATAAGCAGTAGATAGTCATTAATATTTTAATTTATCATCTTGGCAACTCTAGCTGTCCCCAAGAAAATCCCTTACATTCACTTGTGTTGGTGTAAGTTTCAAGAAAAAGAAAGCTAAAGTAGGATATATTAAAAACTTGTTTATTATAAAATATGTTTTTTTTTTTATTTGAATGCAAACTCTGTTGTCCTTAGTGCCAATACATGTCTTCAGTACCTATGAAATTGAAATATTTTCCTCATTTTTTAATACTGTAGATGCTGTTCTGCCCATTTGCATTACTAGATACCATAAATCAGAAACAAAATAATTTGTAATGTTTCAAATTTTAAATGAAAATAAAAATTTTCATGTTAGATTTAGTTTTGTTTTCTTTCTAAATTCGTTAAACAGCAAAATTATGATTAAAAATGCAAGTTTTGGGGTTTTATCTGTGTGTTGTTGCTGTGGTCACTCTTCTGTCACTTCTGCTGTAGTCTCGAGTTCAAAGGTATAGAGAAGCAAATGTACTCAACACCCCTTTTTCCAAGGTGTGAGACTTGCTTGAATATGACATTCCACAGCAAAATCCTGTTGAAACATTTAGGATTATCTTTTGTTTCTTTTCTCACAGCAAACACAAGTTCAGTTTTAGGTAGCATATGTACCATTCTCCAGTGAGCAAGAGCAAGGGAAGGCTACTGTGAATATGTTTTATTCAGTAAAGTTAAATCTACAGCTTCTTAAAATATTTTTCTGTTTAAATTGCAAGATGATAATAGTTTCATATTTTCAGAATTAATTTGAATATTTTGTTCAGAAGCTACTTAAAGTCTTAGACTGACAATGGACTACATGCCTTTTATGTAGAAGAAGCATTATAAACTTGGCTAATGCTTCATAGTGAAGTTGCAACTTTTTAACAGTGGAAGGAAGAGACCATATGCTTTTTTTAAGGTTAGCCCTTGACCAATGACCATTTTGGGTTGTTAAATAGACAGACCTATTTTGACTATTGTTGCATGTGTCAATAATGTCCTTGGTACTTTTCAAAATGGATGACATTTAATCCTAGAAATACTCATGGCAGACTTCTTGGGGACTCTGTGCCCATACACTGAAAGACAATATCCCTTTAAAAATTCTGCAGCAAGTCTTCCAAGTATGTCTCTTTTCTTCCTAGCTAGTAATCAGGAATCTAGTTCCTAAGTTGTTATTTAATCTCACTAAGAGCTCATATGGATGAAATAGATGTGTTATAAATCTTAACTAGCATGGTAAAGTAATATTTTCTAGTTACTTCCATCATCGTGAAGTTTACAGAATAAACTGGCTCCAGCAAGATTTTCACAGGAGTGTTGTTGATTGTGGGAAGAAGATGAGATTTTCCCTTGCCTGTTGCAGAAATACAGGAGAAGGTTCAACATTTAGCCTGCATTGCCTGAATCTCAGAAGTTCTGTTACCAACAATGGCAAAAACAGAAGTTCACAGGCTTTTCTCCTGAGGATATTTCCAAATAATGTCAGTGATATATCTGACACAGATGTGTGGCAGCAGGTATCCTGTCATCACAGAAAGAGCATCCATCTAACTCATGTTACCAGCCAAAGCCAAGTGCCCACTTTGTTGGGGCTACTGCCAAACAGCGAAATGTTCCTTCTGCAATATGCTACCTGACACTCTACCACTAGCTCTGGCTGAGATGGCTGCTAGCCCAACCCTCTTTTTTTTATTTATTTGGACTATCTGTTGTCAGTCAGCCTGGCTTCTCTTCAGCAGCAACTCCCAAGCTGAACTGTAATCAGCCAGGCTTCTTCCTTATCAGCCCCAGAGTAACCCCAAAATGGGCCCCTCTAGCCATTCTGTGAAGCTGCTGTGAAGAAGGATTTGGTCAAAGCAGGCAAGCTCTGTGAACTACTCCTACTAACATGAGAAGGCAGTACCCTTCAGGTACAAACAACTATCAGTGGAACATGAATGAAATGCTGCTAACATATTTTGTCGCCTTTTATTGTACATTTAAGTACACTTTTGGCACTTTTAGCAACGAAGTAGTTGCATGTTACAACATACAGGTTTTCTGTCATAGAAAGGCATTTGGTTTCTTTCTGTCTGTGACTTGTAAATGCTGTATTTTATGTTCTTCTGCTGTCAGCTTCTCAAGGACGAGAGGCTGTGTCCAGATCACTTAAAGGAATATGAAATGAAATGCACTGCAATGGAATATGAAGAGGCATTTGAGGAATCATGAAAAGAATGGAAAGGTGAACCTTCTTGCACAGGTATCATTCAGAGGTGCTGTTAATGACTATATGAACCAAATGATTGCATTTTGCTGGACTATAAACATTTCCATGTCTTGCCTTCTTCGTTCTTTCCTCCTTCCTCTCTGTCTTCCTTCCTCTTTCAACAAGGGAGCTCTTCTGTTGTGTAGTAAGTGCTGACAAGTGCTGACAAGGAGACATATCCTTCCTACAAAATGGTCTCCCAAGCACAATCACTATCCAGAATCAAAATCAACCTGCCAGACACCAGGCTCTGGGTTTCCTATCCCTCATGTGTGCATAAGAATGCCTGGGGGCTCAGTTCATGGTCACCTGGCAGAATTTAAGGACCCACTATTTCCAATAGCATTGATGATTAGAATTGGAGCTATGTTAGCCACTGGAATAATAGTAGTAAGGTAATGGTGTTGACAATGTTGTAGTTGATGTCCCATGTTTAGAACAGACGCCAACTTATCTCAGGAGACAACAGCTAAAGTACTTATATGATAAACATCAATGTTTACAGCCAGTATCTTCATGTGAGGTGTGACTGAAACAGTTCTGTTGAGACACTGCTGTGACCTCACTGTTCTTTTGATTGCGACTGCAGGCTCCATGTATTAGTCACTGGATTCTTACCTATGGGCTTGCATGATATGTGTCCTGAATTTTGTGACACTTACACTAAATATTTCAGGTGGTGCCACACATCTTTTTTGTAACTACTTTAACTGCAGTATTGAACTGCTATTCAGAACTGGGATTTGAAACTCAGCCTTTTGAGATTAGTGTTGCCTCTTTCAAGACTAGAAGAAAAGCCTAGAAAATGGAGGCTGCTGAATTGAATAGCGTGCCAGCTCCAAAAACTAGCTCAGGAATGCAACTTCTTGCACCCAGAAATTTATGGGTACTGAAGTTGAGGGGATCAGCCTGTATACCTTAATTTTTTAACAATGGTGGATGTAGGCTCAAAAACTGCCAGCTCAAAACCCTTCAGACAGCAGCTTAGTCATTCTTTTTTCTGCCCATTTTTTTTTGCTGCAGATTGAGTGGCTGCCTCTCCCGTGCTTTACTAGATGTCTCTCAAAATCCTGCTTGGTAGAAGCTCTCTACCTTATCTACCTCCACCTTGTCAGTCATAGCAGCATGCTGCCTCAGTGAGATGTGTGTGGCCTAGAAGGTAAATGAGAAGTAGACCTTAAAAAGCCAAGGTAGATGAGAGAGGAGCTGATGAGTTGGTAGTGAAAAGAGACCCAGAAAGGGCTTGCCAAACTTAAAGCAAAGCCTGTAAATTTTACCTTAAATCATGCCTTCTTCACACCTCTTTAAATCTTGATTTGGTGGTCCCTCTGTGGTTTATTAGTGTGAGTGAAGAGATATTGGTGATTTTTGATGTAGGAATGTTTTGTGCATACTCTTGAAATATGTAGCCTAAATAAACCCTTGAAAATAATGTCTGGCTGACCTACACATCGTCATTCAGGCATGTACTGGTCATTGGCCCATGTTTATGACAGATTACTTTTTATAAGGTGAATGCATCTATGTTAGCTTATTTTACGTAGATATCACAGGCAGGTGGCAGATAATATTTTCATTCAAAAGCTAGATTCGATGTGAAGGAGCAGTCTAGACATGATGGTTATATGTCATTACAATGTATTTAATTCTCTTTTAAGGAGCTCTAATGGAGATAGATTCTTCTACATTGACAACACAGTGTGCTAAGAGGAGATACAGTTTACTTACAAGGTTAAATATTTACCTCCAGAATAGCTGCACTACTCACAGCTTTGCCTTGCAATGTTCTCACTAAGCAATAATTTTGATGCTTATATAAAAAAAATCAAGTTACCAAAACACTTATTTATGTGCCTAATTTCCATGGAGGTCAGCTGGATTTAACTTGATGTCTAATGTCTCTGTTTAGCTTGAAGCATTTAAGTTATAATGGAATTCCAGTTTGTCTGGAAGAATCAGGTAACTAGACCAGGCCACTGCAAAGCCATTCCCTGTTCAAAGTGTGCAGGCAGACACAACACCCTGTTCGTGTCAAAGAATTACGTACTTAGTAGTACTAAGTGAGTCTTGACAGATCATAGAGTTCTGGCTTAATCTGAAGTAGGTGTACTTAAATAAAAATTTGCAACACATGAAGAACTTGCTAACCACTTTGATTAGGTGTGCTGCTCGACAAACATTCAGAAGGCTAGATGTTTCAGTGTATGAAAAAGAGGAACACTTACTCAGCTTAAAATTTGTTACATATTTAATGGTAGTATGCAATAGCAAAAATTTTAGTTACATATGTTAACACTTACTCAGCTTAAAATTTGTTACATATTTAATGGTAGTATGCAGCATCAAAAATTTTAGTTACATATGTTAAACATTATTCTTTGCTTTATACTGAAGTAAAAATTCAGTTTTTACAAGATAATGTTTTAATATTGTCAAAAAGAAATGAATTTGCTTGAAGGTTCTTGTTTGCTATGAGTCTCTGTTTAAGACAGAGACATGAATTCTTACATTAATTCCTTAATGTCTATTTCAAGTAATCCTCACTGTTGCCATAAGGTGGTGCTTTTAGTCTTCATGATCAGAAGTTTGGGAGTTTTTCTGCTGGCTTTCACTTACTAAGAATATCAATGGTCTCGTTTTATACACTTGCTATTTTAAATCTTAAATTTTAAATATAAACTTTTTACAATAATATATTTGATCACCTAGTGGAGAATTGATTGATGATATTTATAATGGCAGTATTTCAAACAGAAGTCCTCTGACCCTTGATAGGTTCTTTCATGGTTTGTGTATGTTCTCATTGCCTATCAAGCAGTTAGAATAGTGAATTTACAACAAAAGATCAAGTGCTTAAATTTTTGAGAAAGTACAGATTTTCTCAGCAATTTATTTTAATTCTCTACACACATCATTATATTATTAGTGACTGTATCTCCTTTTTTCTTTCCACAGGATTTTTCTTGTTTACTGGAGGATGGAAAAAAAATTAATAAATAAACTTTCATTGTACGGTTTTCCTCACACATTTGCAAGATTTAGGCCATATTCCAGTTTTCAAATGTTTTTTGGCCAGTGAGCTAGGTGGAGTAAAGACCCTTGTCCAGACATGTTTGTAAGCGTGGTAAGTTTGAGGCCCCTATAAAAAGGGGTGCCCAACAATAAACCTTGGCTGTTGCTGCATGAACATCTGTGTGTTCTTGTCACACTCCTGTCTCCAAAACTGGGACAAAGGAATTATGCTTTTTCTTTTCTACAAAGGACATTTGTAACTTAATTGTGGTAGAATGATGTGTGTCAACACAGAAACTAAAAAAGTCAGGAAATAAAACTGGCTGATGTCAAAAAGAGATGGAATGTGCAAAAATTGGCAGTATTGGGGTAAAGATTATTGAGGCACCATAGGGAAATATCTAGAGAGGGAAACTTAATTACAGAGAAATATACAGCATCTTAAAGTCTTCTCAGAACCACTGCCTATTTCCCACCTGTTTTAATTTTTTTTTGCCTTTTATGGCAAACTCTTTCTAAAATGAGGAAGTAGAAGTGCAAAACTTACTTTATGCAAACCTGCAAATAACAAAAAACCCAGCGTTTGCTTTTAGTAAAATACATCAGGATCTAAGAACAGTAAAACCATAAACTGTGTTAATTATAGCATTCATAATTCTGCAGTTTTCATATATATCTAATCAAGCAACTGATATAGAGGCAGGCTACAGCACTAAAAGGTGATTTTAAGACAAGCCTGCTGGTTAACATGAGCATTCAGAGCAAGAATGCTAGAGATAAAAAGTGACTCTATGCTTGCAAGTAGAAATGCTTGGACATGGCTGAACCTGTAGCAAATCACCAACCAATTATGAAATTCTGCATTGCTTCCTCAAATGGTATAAATCAGGGTGCAGCAAGCACTGTGCAACTGACCCATGAATATAAAGAATACTTTTTTTTTAGTTTACAACTCTTTCTTTGTTTTGGGAAAGATGAAACCACAGAATGCACATAAAAGAAAATACATCAATAGAAATATAACCACCTTAATACTGTGTTGTAACCAATATCATATTGTAGTTACACTTGTCACTAAAATGTAATCGGCTTGATGTTTATCTACCATTGTTTTAACTGCTCGACTTTTTAGAGAAGACTTGTTTAAGCCTTATGCAGAAATTGACATCCTTTTGTTATCACTAATTATTATTTCAATTTTTCCCCCACCAGGGTTTGTGATTTACAAGGTTTTTCCTCAGGAATATATAGAATGGCCTGGGTTGAAAGGGATGCTAAAGATGACCTAGTTGCAGCCATCCCATCATGGTCAGGGATGCCTTCCAGTACCCCAGGTGGGGGTATCACCAGAGTGAAATAGAGTGACAGAATTCCCTGGACACTGCTCATCTCTGCCTAAGGGTGCATAACTCTGACATGTATTTGGCAGTAGTAACTTTCAGACATATGTAAGAATCAAAGTGCAGAAATACAGAGAAAGGTTTTAGGGACAAATGGAGCTTGCGTTGATGAGACATTAGTAGGAGATCATATATTCAGAAAAATGTTGGAAAAGCTGCTGACTGCCTGAACTGAAATTATGTTCCTGAGTTCAGTCTTATAGAAGTATCCATCTTAGTTCTGGCTCTGAAAAAAAATTCAAGCTGAGAAGAAAATGGCCTGTCTGTTTATTTCATATTTGAAACCACTGAGTTATGAAAACATTGTAAGGCATCTTACAATGCTGCTTTCTATTTCGTATATTTTATTGGAAAAGCTAAATGATATTTGATTTCTGTTCCTCTAAAACAAGTAAGTTGCACGTATCAATCTTCCTGAACCTTGAAGTAACTACAGATGGGAGGATATTACATAAAAAGCATTTGATAAATTGCTCTTTCTTCTCATTTGTTCTCAAGTGAGCACTCCTTTACTATCTTCAAATTTAGAAAAAGGATAGAAACATCTATCTGAATTATGCTGTATTTAGTGCTAAAAGTATGCCATGGTCAAGGATTCATATAAAGTTCCCTGAGTACAGAGTTCTTCAAACACCTTTTTAAGATTCTTTTCATCTCAAACACTGTCTTTTCTCCTTGCATACAGTTCTTTATATTTTATAACTGCAGTCACAAAAATTGATGGAAATTTCTAATATAACAATTCTACATATATAGATTAACTCCTTACAGACTCTTCTCTGAAAGTTCATCTTTCCAACGACATGTGCAAAAGTGTTTTTTCTGGAGTAGCAAGGCATGTACTCAAGTAAATATTAGTATAAGTTTGCATGGAAAGGAGTTTGCCTAAGGAGAATTTTCAGCTTAGTAAGGGCAGGTTTAACCAAACCTTTGTGGCTGTAGATGAAAGAGGAGTTATCTGAAAAGAATAATTCCAACAAAACTTGTGAAGGGAGAGAAGGTATCACATTTATATTATAGTGACTTCATAGTTCTCAAACCTATTTTGAATTTCTCTTCCATGGTCTATCCAATTTTCCATTACCTTTTGTCCTGGATCTGCCCATGACAGAGTTAATTTTTTGCAGTAGGTTTGGAGTCTTGTTGGGACAACTACGTTTGGGACTTCCATTCCTAAACCATGACAGTGTTTTTAAAAACAGTCTCATAATTTCACCCTCAGGGTAAAATTCTTTCTATATTTTGCTTTCATGAATGTTGACAGCAGAACAATTATTATTTGTGTGTACTTTAGCTGCTAAGATATAACTCAAAACAAATCCATCAGGTAGATTTTATAGAACATTTGCTTTATTTGTTTTATTATATTTGTAACTTTCAGTCAGTGTGTTTACATTATTAAATAACTTAAAAGTACAACAACATCCAAGTACATATCTTTGCCAATCTTCATTAAAACTGTTATTTCAGCAAAGAATAAAATTTCTCTGATTTGAAAAGATGCATTTTCCATATAAGAATTAAATTTTTATATTTCAAACTGTTTACTAAATTATTATTGCAAGATCTTATTATTTGTGTGGATCTCTCTAGTCCTTTGTTATTTAGCATATCTGCTTTAGTGTTTTTTGTTTGTTTGTGAGTTTGTGCCCTTTTTTTCTGTGTGTGTGGGTTTTTTGTTGTTGTTTTGTTTTGTTTCTATATAGTTGGCATAATCTTGTTATTCTTTTTTGAGATTTTATAATTCTCTTTAAGAAAACTTAGGTGCTAATTGCTCCAGTCCAATAATTAAATAAATATTTTTTATTCCTTTCACAATAAAGCATAGTCCCTAAGAATAACTGAACTTCATATCACTGTGATATCAAATCATCCTCATTCATAAATACTTACAAGAGAAATATCTACTTCTGTTTTAATTCTTCCCTTTCTGTTTGATAAATAACAAGTTTCTTCTTGAAACTTCTCTAAACTCCTCCTTTTCCCTATCTAGCTATAGAGGTTTAGCTGAAATCCTTACTTTAGCAACTTCTTTTATTTCAGAACCCATCTGCACCTGTTGCCATTTGATGCTATATTTCCTATTGCTTACATATTTCCCTTTAATTATATTAAATTTAAATTAATTATACAATAGTCTTTTAAATTCCTGATTCAATTCATAGCTGACCCAAAATGGCTTATCAGCAAAGTTTATTGATTTAATATTGAGCAGAGTTGGAATTCAACACACCTTATATGTGTTTCACCAGGCACTTTTCATTTATTTTGGTCTCTTAAGAATTCAGGAAAGGGAATTAGGATTTCAGAATGGAATCTATTTTTGAAGAAGGAATTGATGGAATGATTAAGCAGCTAAGACATAAAAAAATAATTCCAACAGCTGGGGAAATTCTTCCCAGGAATGCATGTGGCAGAGATCTTTTTCTTTAATGCACACATTGATCTAACTAGTAAGGCTGAGAGAAAAATTGAAATTTGTCATTACACAGTATTTAAATATTTAAGAGATGAAATAAAGTCAAGGGGGAAATTAAATAACTAACCAAACTAATGATCTCTATATCTTAGTTAATGGAATTAAAAGGTGTTTAAGAAAGTTATATTATGGCTTAGTGAATTTGAAACGAAACAGTAATACAGATTTATGTTCTCCAGGACAGAGTTTTCCCATATTAAACTGGAGTCTCTGAACTGCAAATGTCTAAATAAGTGAAAAAACAAAGATCAAAAATAGATGGATTTGAAAATGAAGGCAGCATAAACAATCTGTCATCCTGACCTGCCTGAAGGACTAGGGAAAATAAGAAGAGAAAGTTAACAAATACCTCTTTAAAGAAAACTTTATTAAAAATTTTTATGTCTGCATTCTCTGTTCTTGCAAAGAAGAGTGAGTAGAGCACCTGCTGGCATCCACAAAGAAATGATAATAAAGTTTCTTAATTACAGAAATACAGATAAGCTGTTACAGCTGGCTATACTGAATAAGTCTGATTTATAATTCAGATAAGTACTGCCAATCCTTGATTGCAGTGTGAAGATACAAAGGAAGCAGAATCCATAGAGACTGAGAGGAAGCTTTGGGATTTGAAAATTGAGTTCTTGTTTTATGCTGCTAGGCTTGAAATTGATGCACATGAAATCAGACTATTTCTTTTATAGTACAGAAAGATTATCACTCTTGATTTACACAAGAGAGGAATAGACAAGATGATTGCAAATAAAGGAGGATTGATATTCTGAATGTCCTAACACAGCCTTTCACAAGTCCTCTCAAGAACAAAGAGTACACAAGGCCTATTCTCAGGGTTACTTCTGTTTTAATGGTAATAGCCATGCAGGACACAAACATTTCTTGCTTCTCTCACCTGATTTAATATTAAATTATTTTAATACTATGATTACTCTTTCTCAAATACCTGTCCCTTTTTGGAGGTGCAGGGTACCTACTTGGCATATATTTCAGTAGGCTCTTGGACTCCTATAGAGTATGTGCATACATGCATACACCTGCATGTGCACACAGAGAAGAGACAAAGTCTCTTTCACAAGAGAATTTAAGCACATCCATCTCTTCAGCATTTCCAGGTATCAGTTTTAAGAATTTTGGTGGTCAGTGTGTTGGTTTTTGTGAACACATTTATGAATGTCTGTATCTCTCAAATTTCCATGGAGAATTTAGTTACTTGAACTCAACTTAGTGAATTTTACATCTGAGCAAGGAATCTGTCTTGAAGGTATCACAGTAGAAGGTATCACATTTAATCCTTCCTTG